TCAATATTTGAGAATCATTGGAAAAGATACTCATTAGAATGTCTTATAAAGTTCTTCAAAATCACCCACCACTCCAAGAAAATTAAATGTCATCTTTCCCCTTGAAGTTTTCTTTGACTGAATTGTTCCTTCTTCTGTGTTCCCACAGCTCTGTATGCATAACTCTCAAAATACCTATTATATCACACTTTCATTATGCTTGTACCCCAACTTGCAGGGACAACTCCATGCGCCTACAACCTGTGCAGTCACACAGGGACCTACACTCAGGAGAGTCCTACACTCAGAAGGACCCTACATTTGGCTCAATAGTCTGCTATCAATATCCTGAAATTCTTAATAATTGTTGAACAAGGTACACCTCATTTGCACTTCACACTGGGCTGCTCAAATTATGTACTCGGCCCTGCCACTAGATTGTGAGCTCCTTGAAAACAGAAGCTATTTGCTATTCTTTGAAACTCCTCCTTGGTTAGCACAGAGGACTCCTGGAAAAAAGTAGAGGTTTCTTAAATATTTGTTGAGTTTATATATGAATAGATGAAAAGATAAAGCATCTCATAGAAAAACAGTACCGTATGGCTAATTAACTCAGAAGAATAAGCTTTTGTTATTCTTGGGAGAGAGGGAAACTAATTGATAAAATCCTGAGACTACTGACCATTCCAAATAAATAACATAACATTTTCTAGGTTTCTTTTTAAATTACCCAAACCACTCCTACTTTTGAGCCCTGCTGCCTCCCCGTTCTCAGAATGCAAAATTACGGTTAATGGAGCTTGCAATAATGCTATCATCTCCTGAGTTTTTGTGCCAGGCACTGTGTTAAATTCTGGGTGTCTTGGGAAGGGAAAGGGAGAAGCTGAGAAAACGTGAATCAAGCAGGATCCCTGTCTTCAAGACGCAATTAAATCTCACTCCTCTACAATTTATATCAAAGATGAGTTGACTTCATGGGAGTGCTGCAGCAATGAATGGAGAATAAAGACATTAGACTTGGCCAGTGGCCCAGCTTCCTGAACATTTCAAATGACAAAATGTCTCAGCCTTGAACACAATTCCCTCACTATGAGATCTGTGGGTTCACTAGTTAACATTGGCAACCGACTGAGAGGTGCTCATGGAGCATAATAAACAAGTGGCTACTGAGGTGGGGGAGGTGCTTTTGCTCCCGGGTGTTAGAGAGGAAAAGAGGAACATCAGCTATCAAAGTGAGCCAAATAATTGGTGAAGAAAAATGTTCCTAGCTCCCGCTAAAGGCATGACGGGACTTCCAATGTGGCAACGACCACACACCAACCCTGTTGCCACATTATGTGCTCATTGCTAGGTTCTCAGAAACGGCATGGAAGCCCAAAAAGAGTTTATTATGCTTTTTCACTTACTAGTTTTTAGCTACCCAGTACTGGCTGGTATAATATCAGTTACAAAATTAATAGAATCTAGTTGAAAACATATAAATGTCAATAAATTGGAAGGAAGGAGGGAAGGAAGGAAGGAAGGAAGAAAGGAAAAAAGGAAGGAAGGAAAGAAGGAAGGAAGGAAGGAAAAAAGGAAGGAAGGAAAAAAGGAAGGAAGGAAGGAAGAAAGAAAGGAAAAGAAAAGTAAGTGTTTTCCCAAAGTAGGCACAAGGCAAGTAGAAGGTAACCCAGGTCCTCTCCATTTATAAGTGGTCTCTATGAATAAAAGCACATATTCCTTTTGGTATAACTAAATGACAAGAGATGACCTCATTATTGTGGGGTAGTATTTATTCAATTGGTTAACTGCTAAGGCCCTGGCTCCTTCTACCTTTATTTAGATAATAGCAGTTCACACTTTGCCAGAACTGTATACTTATCAAAACATGTTCACATGGATTATCTCCACTGATCTTCACAAGAGCTCTGTGAGTCGGGTAGGGTAAGAAAGACCAGTCCTATTTTGCAGGTATACAAACTGAGTCTAGAGCAGGCTAGCCCAAGGCTACCGAGAGCCAGGCCTCTGCTCCAGTTCCAGTGCTCTCTGGGAGGTTCCTCCTGGAAGCCTTTCCGAGGCAGTCATTTAGGTGAACCTTCCTCGAAGGTCACTTTCTCACTTTTCCTTCCTTCTCCCTCCAAAAATTTCTCTTCCTTTGGCTCCTGTCTCATTTTGCACTTAAGGATCTTACTTTCAGGTCACCTTGGGTTGCTATTTAGTTCCTGTTTGTTTTGGGTGTTTGTTTCTGTTTGTTTTCTGGAGACAGAGTCTCACTTTGTCTCCCAGAGTACAGTGGTGTAATCTCAGCTCACTGCAACCTCTGCCTCCTGGGTTCAAGCAATTCTCCTGCTTCAGCCTCCCAAGTAGTTGGGAGTATAGGCCCCCACCACCATGTCCAGCTAATTTTTGTATTTTTAGTAGAGACAGGGTTTCACCATGTTGGCCAGATGGTCTCGATCTCCTGACCTCTTGATCCACCCACCTTGGCCTCCCAAAGTGCTGGGATTACAGGCGTGAGCCACAGAGCACAGCCAGTTTTTTTAATACTCTAAAATGGAAGATAATCCCAGGCATCTTTAGGCCTCAGAATATTCTTCTTTATTTGACAGGAGGTCTAAACCCTATAATGTTTTCTCTTGAAACTTGAAGTAATTTCTACCACCAGAGAAATTACTTTTGCAAAGATTCAAGCAAAGTATATTATAAAGCACTTAACTATAAACACTTTGGTGTGACACATTTCTAGACACGGAAGTCAGAGGTGACAGACTTATTTCAGATACTCGAATTATCTAGAAGAAAAAAGAAACTCAAAGTATCTATAACAGAATAGATCCTGGGGAATCTAAGAAGATTGGATGTTGATGTTCTCTTTAGCTTTGCTTTATGAAGAAAGGGAATGTGTTCTGTTAAGAGTGCAATGTTATCTGGAAGAACTGAAGAAGGTATCAGTGGGCTATGTTCAGGTCCAGAGACAAAAGAGCTATCAACTTCAACTAACCTGTGTGGTGCCACAGCTCCTAGACTTACTGGTTGACACAACCTTAGGGAAATTATCTATGCAACAACTTCCTCATCTTTAAAGTAAGAATCACAGCATCTACCTTATGGGGTTGTGATGACAACTAAATTAGCTAGTGGCCAAGAAAATGCTCTGTATACTAAAAATCACTATAAAATATGTAGAATAGATAGAGAGAGATAAGTGTTATAGTTTACTGCTCTGGCCAAGGGATGCAGGAATGAGTTAAAAAGGAACAGAGTGTCACGAACAGCAACAGGCAGGTGGCCAGGTTTCTCTAGGCAGAAGAGGATGGAGAGCTCAGGAGTGCATACTAATTGCTGCACCTCTGCTGAGACTACTGGCCGAATGACTGCCCAGCAGAAAACACAGTGTCCCTTTCCATATCAAAGGCCCTCTCCTAACGGGGCTTTCAGCTGCATACAAAATTAGGTGGACATTCTGATGCATCTGATGGTGCTGTTATGAAGATGAACTGTTAACTAAATTGCTTTGGTGGAATATGTATGCTAGGGAAGAGGTTAACAGTTTTCCTAGAACCGTGAATGTCTTCTGGAAAATAAATGATTCTTATTGACATTTGAAATACAAATTGTCCAAGAGCAAAAATAGGTGTACTGGAAAAGAGTAAGTGTATTTCTAAATGAAAGAGTAAGAGAGAAAAGGGAAAGAGAGAGAGAGAGAACTTTCAGAGCAAGGAGCCCCTGCCTTCTGATGAAAAGTATTCAAGATGAAGATAAACTTTTCAACTTAATATCGAGAGTAATGAAACATTCACTTCCTAAAGAAAACTCCTGAAAGAAACAAGGATGATATCCAAAGTGAGGTAGCAAGTCATTTCTGGTGACATTTGTGGGGGAGCTGAAGGCAATTCATATTTGGCAGTCAAATCTGAATGAAGTAAAGGATATGGTTAAGAAAGGGACCTGAATTAATGTGCCTTTTACTTCTTCATAATTTTTTCAGCTTTGATAGCAGAAGGGATCTACACTTGAAAGTCCAAAAAATGTTGTTGCTATAGGAACAGGTAAACAGATTAGACTTGAAAGACCAGTTTAGGAACAAAGAATTTAATAGTCGGGCTAAGCAATTAACCGAGAAAACATTTAAGTAAGTGTCTTTCAGGTTTGTTATTTACATATTCATTCCAGAAAGACAAAATGCTATTATTGAATGAGAGCATCACATTTTAACATTTTAATTACATCATTACTGGCATAAAAGAATGTGCTTACACAATTAGCAGAAAGACCTTATTAAACAGAAGTACACATTTCTAACTCTCTCTTGATTACATTGCAACGGAGAAATACAGTTTTAAATTCATCATGAGCATGAAAGTAATCTTTGGTTTTCCTACAGTTCTCTGATTTTTCTACAGATCTCAGGATAGAAACACAACTAAAATAAAGGAGAAAATGAACTACTGAAAGTTTTCTGTAACTAATCTCTATAATGAGGAAGCCACAAAAGTAAAATTCAAGAAGGAAACAGAAATGTGTGTAAGTTGATAATTGTTAATTTTGTATGTCTTCCCTGTCCAATAGACTCGGTAAACAAGATATGTGAGAAGAAAAGAAGGTCAAAGACCCAGCTGCACTCCTGCTTCGCTGCTGAACTTCTGCTTCTAGCTGTCAGGGAATACACCACACCTCACATTAGGGATTTCCTAAAATTGTTAGGTATTTCAAACAGAACTTGCTATACGGATGAGGCTCAAACCCGAATCATAAAGTGGCATGGTGCTTCTCTCCCTATCTGTTTTATTTAAAAAGAAAACATTCTTGATAAGATGAATACAGTATTTTCATTCTAGCAAACTTCTGCTGTCAGAGGTTACATTTACAGGATAGAGAGATTTCTCAAACATGATCTTTTCTCGTGTAATACCAGAGTGAAATTGCAGAGAAGTCTCTGTGTGTGGTGCGTGTGTGTGCATGTGCACACACGCGTGTGTGCGTGTGTGTCTTGGAGGCTGAGGAGTGAGAATGGGAAGAAGGGAATATGGCTAGAATCTTACCATCTCATTCTCTTCTCCTTCATTGAGCAAAGCGTGCTGGCCCTTCTCAAACTGGTCCCCCATGAAAAAGTTATTCCACACCTCCTCCCTGACCTTGCCGGGCAGATGCTTCCAGGACGAACTCCAACTCGCCAAGCCACTGCAGCTCCTCAGCTGACTAAAAGAGTTAATGATCCTCCAGGTTAAAACTCCTCCTTGAGCACACACCTTCCCTCAACAAATGACAATACTTGGCACACTGAACTACTCCCACAAGTCACCCTCTGCTAGGAGGAATTTCTGGCTGCTGTCTGCTTATTGCATTCTCTCAGAGCAGCTGTCTCAAAGGAGGCTGCCCCCATGCCGATCTTTTTGTGCCCAACTCACAGGGAAAGAACTCATTGCCTGCCCAGTGCCTGCCAGCATCAGACCTCTGACTGCAAATCCAACAAGACAATACAGAGTTGGCAGGACCCTTCTCAGGAGTGAGAAGCGGGTGTAAGAACTCCCAGGTCACTGCTTTATTCAGATGGCCTAAGGAATTGGAGTGAGCGGAAGTGCACAGAGTCTCAGATTTTCTTTGATTAATGAAAGCTTCAATCCATAGGTTTTCAATACTACTCTCATTCATTTTGCTTACAAAAAGTGCAAATTATCACTAATCTGTAATCACATTTCCTTGTATATGCAAAAAACATTCTGTTTAATGGGTATGTGAAATTAAGTTTACTTTTTTGAAACACATGTAGAAAAAGAACAAAGGTATAATCAAACTAGTCTGTGTCACTGTTTTCATAAAATATTGATGGTTCAACACTTAAGGAAGTCTGGAAATAAAATATTCAAGTGACTATATGGCAAGACTCTTTTTTAATTTATTTACACACTTATTCAATAAGCATTGCTTGAGCACAGGGACTACATAAAAAAGTGAAGTCATATTTGCCACTCTTGTGTCGATGTACGGATTCAAACACCCAAACAAATATGACGGGAAGTGGGTTATTATTATAAGAGCTGGAACAGAATGGTAAGATAAGTGCTAGAAGTCCCAGTGTGGTGTAGAGAAACACACCCGTACGCTAGCTCTGGCAAAATACCTGTATTCCAGCTGCTTTTCTGCACTGGCCTTGCTGTGTGATCATTTAACCATAGGAACTGGCTCTTCTCATCCGGTACCAGCCGACAGGACTGTTGAGAGGATGGAACGAGATCACTGTGAAAGTACATTGTACAGCACTGATCAAGTGCTGTTAGGATTATTCAACTAAATGTGCAATTGAACAGTAGGTGTTAGGACAGAGGGGTTAAGGGCATATGCACTAAATTTGGAAGGCCTGAGTTCAAATTTGGACTTTACTAGGTGGTAGTTATGCTACCTTGGGATATAACAAGTTATATAAATTCCATTAGCCTCTACTTGCTCACATGTAACATAAAGATGATGATAATAGAACCTACGTCCTAAAACCGTTTTTTAAGAAATAGTGCCTGGGAAATAATAGGTGTTCAATAAAAGATAGTTATTTTTACCTTCACCCTGTCCACTGTCCCTTGCTCAAGCTACATTAGCAATGGTATCTCCAACCTGACCCAAATAACCCTAATGTGACCAAGATCAATGTGTGTGTGTGTGTCTGTGTGTGTGTGTGTGTGTGTGTGTGTGTGTGTGTTGGATGTGTGAAACCTTGAGAAAATAGTAAAATATAAACATAAAAACTAAGCTAAGTAAATTCATTGTAATATTAATTACAAAATACTTATGTAGTTCTCCTGGTTTCAAAAAATTGCTAACACAATTTAACTAAACAAATGAAAATAAAATTAACATTTTATCACAGGGTCAAATTATAAGGAGTGCAGGGTTTCTTGGGGGGGTAAGAAAAATGTTCTAGAATTACTGATGACTTCACAGATTTGTGAATATACTAAACAACACTGAACTGTATACTTTAAAAGCGTCAATTTTATGAAATGTGAATTATGTCTCAATGAAAAAATATAATAAATTTTAAAAGCATATCTCAATTAAAAAAAATAAACCTCAAGAAAACTAACTAAACATTTATCAGCTTTACTATGCAGTAATTATATATTTAGTACAGGAAAAAAATATAAAACAAGGATATTCCAAATTTCATCTCAACTGATGGAGGTTGAGGAGTATTAGTATGTGACATGGCAAATGCATATCAGTGCCATTGGGCAGGTGAGAGAGAAGCAATTCATTCTCCTGTTTATCACCGGCAATATTTGCACTGTTTCCTTTTGGCTGGGTTCCTGAATACACTTGGCAACTCATGCACCATTGTGGGATTGAGATGCGTGTGTAACTGATTAAGAACTAGAGGAAAAACTGTATACGAACTTACCACACTCAAATGAATCAGATCATGCTGTTACAATATTTAAGCCAAACTTGAACAGGCAAATATGTAAGTCCCTAAGAACATTAAAAGCTTTTATAAAAATCAAGTGTTTGTGGAAAATTATTTTCCACAACATGGTTCAGTAGAACTGAGGACTGCAATAGTGAGAGAGTTTCTTCAAGTTCCTTGGGAGTTCTATTGGTAAAACATCTAGATTTTATCTATGGCAACACTACGTATGGGCAGTACTCACCCTCATTTAGTGTTTTTGGTCTACAAAGATAAGCATATCCAGAAACAGGGCTAGATTGGGAAAGCAAAGAGAACATTTACCAAACACTCCCAGATATGAGGCACTATTCTAAACAGTGTACACTCTCTTTTGCACACAATCCTGACAAACACCTCAGTGGTTGATACTATTCTGGCCATTCTTATTTGACAGACAAGAAAACACAGGTGCAGATATTAAATAATTTGCCTACATTCAAACCATTAGTAAGTGACAGAATGAGTTTTTGAACCTAAGCAAAGCAGCTCTCCCAATCCGTGATCCTAGCTACTAGGCTAATACCACTTCTACACATTTATTTGGCACATCCAAAGTGCTCTGCAAGGAGTTCTGCATTTACATGACCAGAAAAGCCTCTTTGTGGAGGAAGCCTATTGAGAAAGGCATTGCTTGAAAAGAGACAAAAAAGACTTCAACAGGTGGAGATGCTGAGGCTCGAACAAAGAGTGTGCCCACAGGAAAGAGCATTTGAAGCAAGGGGGTCATCAGAGGGAGAAACACATGGCCATGTTCACAGCAAGTCCGTCAGCCCCACTGCAGCATGCGGTGTGTAAAGGAAAAAGAGGGGAGTGACATGTGGCAGGAAAATACAGACCAACACCATGCGTGGAGGTCCCGAATGCTAGCTCTGAGCTTAATGCAAAGAGTGACAATAATATGGAAGGCAAACTGAACTCCATAAATATGCCTGTTGCTCCTGATCAGCCTGTGCTCTCATATTATGGAAATCAAGTGCTAAAGCAGCTCGGTCCTTCCTATGCAATGCTGTATTTATGTAGACAGTTTTCTTGAACCTTCTAAGTTACGTCTTCTATTTCTCTTTAGAAATTGTTTGATTTTAATTCAGCCTCTCTTTCCTTAATTGTGCCTCTTCAGTATTTCTATTCTGTACTGTATGTGCCTCACAGGTTGTAATGTGGCACAGTGAGAATGGCAGATGAGGATTTGGTATGGTCTGAAGTCTAATCTTGACATTTTGCTGAAGGATTCCATTCATTCATTCATTTAACATGAGTTTGACTAACTTCACTATGTCCAGATCTGTAATAGATGAAGAATAAAGATTTAATAAATTATGCTCCAGAAAAGTTAAGTCCATTAAGAAACACAATCAATACCAAAATATAAATTCCAGCCAGGTGTGGTGGATCATGCCTGTAATCCCAGCACTTTGGGAGGCCAAGGAGGGTGGATCACAAGGTCAGGAGATTGAGACCATCCTGGCCAAAATGGGGAAACCACGTCTCTACTAAAATACAAAAAATTAGCCATGCATGGTGGCATGTGCCTGTAGTCCCATCTACTCGGGAGGCTGAGGCAGGGGAATTGCTTGAACCCAGGAGGCAGAGGTTGCAGTGAACTGAGATTGCAACATTGCACTCTAGCCTGGCGACAGAGCAAGCCTTCATCTCAAAAAAAAAANAAAAAACAAAACTATATAATATGCTAATTACACAAGAATAACAGGAAGTTCAAGTAGGGAGTTAGACCAGGAAGCTCTCATAAAGATCAGAGTTTTATGCTGGCCTACATAAATGCAGATGGGTAAGGAAAGCACTATTAACAAAGGAGATGGAGAGCAAAGGCACGGACAAGGGCTCGCACACAGCCCATTCTGGGGACTACAAATTATACACATATATTGATACCCTGGAATTGAGAGGAATGTCCAAGAGGAAAAGTTCCTTCGATTATTCTCTGATTCTTTCCCTGCACTCATTTCTTCTCAAATAGTCTCTCCCAAATTAGAATGAACATGGAAAACAGAAAAAAAATAAATAAATACTTCGCTACCTCTGCTGATCTGGCATCTCAGTTTGCTTTTGATTATTTCAGGAGCATGTCTGTTGCTCTGAGCAGTTCTCAGCCTCTGTGAGTGTCTATGATACATGTTCAATGGAAATAATGGCAGGACTGGTTTCTCTGCCAGGACCGTGGGGATGCTGATGCTTCACTTGTCTGCCCCATTTAGATTGTGTGATGATAAATGGTAATAATATTTCATTATATGTTAATTTCCATCTTTCATCTGAGAACTCACAGCATATTACAAACATTATTCTTCGCAACATCTCTGTGAAGTAGGGAGGTGAGTAATAACATCACCCCCGTTTGAAAGCTGTAGAAACTGAGTCATAAAGAGGTCACAAAGAGCTGTTCAAGGTCATGTGTCTTTAGCACGGAGTAGAACCTGAAACAAGTGCAATATTTCTGCCTTGTCATCATTGCCAATAAGCTGGCTCAAGCTTCCTCTTCAGTCCTCATTACACAAATCTGGTATCTGTAAAGCACCTGAGACCTTAAGTTATAGAACTTTATCTAAACTCAAGGCTTTACTGTTATTATTAATTATCCTAATCTGCCCCAAAATATAGTCTGTGGTAGCAAGCAAAGAAGTGATATCCCAAAGAGGAATTACCTGCCTCAAAGTGGTGGTGTAAAGTCTAATTGAATTAATTAATGTTTGTAAAACATTTAGCAACCCTTAGATTAAAGGGTCTAATACAAAGATCCAGGGACTCCCTCTTAATTACAGAAGAAAAGAGCAGGCTGATGCTATCTCTGCTTCTCAGAGATCTTACTCTCAAACATCCCCGTTCAACACCAGGTCTGGTCTCCTACCAGTGGCTTGGGGTGGTCTGTTGCTTCACTTTCAGAAGAGCCTTCTTTGCTCTCTGTTATTTCCAAAAATAAGAAATTGAAAGCTCCTCTCTGGAGGTAAGGCAGCTCCCCTTCTGTGAAGCTTACCTCAGTTGACAGCTGTTATAACAACTCCAAGTCATTAAAGACAACCTATAAAACAAAAGCCAAAAGAGTCGGTCCCCAGGCAGAAACTTCATATCAGTGTACTTAATTTTGAGAACTTTTAACCTAAAAATTTAAGTATACAAAACAATACAAGTTAGGGTATGATTATTAACAATCAGAGACTATTAGAACTAGACAGGGCCTTAGAATTACTAATTTCTCAGGTGAGAAAAATGTTACTGGACGACTATGTAATAATTTGTTCAAGATCACAATCTGTGAAAGCTAAAACTCTCAAGTCTTACATATGATATACTTCACACAA